GAGAGCTCAGCTGCTGCTTCTGTTAATACGTCAACTACAGCCAGCTATCCTGATAAATGCTTGTGTTCAAATGTACATAAATGTGTGGAATAAAGTGGCAGTTTTGATGTGTGAAATTGATTGCAGCAGTGATAGTAAAGCATCGTGAAAGGCTCTTTGTGTTTCACAGCAGGCTTAAGGCATTAGATGACGGGAACTGGAGGACATATGGGACTAAGAGTTTTGTGACCCCCTCAGCCTCCACAGGCCCATCTGTTCCTTCATCCTTCAGGCTTAACACTACAGGCAGTGAGGTTTTTGGGACATAGGCCCCTTTTTTCACAAGTTCTGCTGTACGACAAATCTGGCCAACATATATTCACGAATATTCAAAGAGTTAAGTATTACTTGAACTGTATCGGATCATCAAGAAGATCATTCAGCAACATTTTCCTGATGATCGAGTCTGACAAAGGTCAAGGCAAATAATCTACGCAAGTATATATCTTTCCTTTTTTCAATTCTGTTTATGAGAGAATTCAGTTGCATATGCATAACCATTGGCTGCCCTATAGGTAGGGTTAGGCCCAACCAATCACAGCACTTCAATCCAATCTAAAAAGCAAAAACAGTAAATACCTTTTGTTTCACTTTTGTGTAAGACAACCTGTGCTGTTTTTCTTGTCAGGCTGTGAATATTTGGCTGTCACAAATCACCCTTGTTGGCCCTTAATTGTTAAAGCAAGTTACATCCTTCCTCTCTGCCATCAGTACTTGTTTCAGCGTTGATGAAGACTGACATTTTTCATGATTTCACTGAAAGCAGATGTGATGAAATTGGACAATAAAGTAATTTGTTTGTTTGTTTGTTTTTCTTTTTACAAGAAGTTGCCATATTGAAGCTAATGGTGTTTGCAGTTTTAAATTTCCTCAATTTTTAAGCCCTGGAAGTTCTCACTTTTACTGACTTAACTTTGAATGATTCTTTAAATGAACTGCCACCTGCTAAGCTTTTTGGGTAATATAGGCAAGAGGCTTTGACAAGGTTGGAAAAATGCAAATGAAAAAAACAACAACAACTGTGTCTGCCTTATCAATTTTTTGCAAGCTGCCCATTATGAGTCCAGCAATACATGTATGTTACTGAATCCAGTGTAATTTTCATAATGCTATTTTCTCTTCCCTTTTAAGCCAACTATACCTGAAGCATCAAGAGTAACGCTACTGAAAAGACCCTTCAGAGTGTTAAATATATTCACATTTGTACTCTCAAATGTTATTTTACCCATGGTCCATGTGCATATGATTTTCCTTATTATGAGTATCACTGACACCTATCTTGCCATCCTCTTAGATCCTTTGAATAGAAACCTTTTCATACTTTTCAGGGCATATCTCATATAAATCCCTGCATTGTTCAGTTCAGTATACCCTATCTGCAATACATGAAAGCAACTTTGAACTTAAAAATGTAAATGTACTAAATAAATGATAAATCTACTACATTGCAATGCAACATTTATGCCTTACGTGTAAAGAAGGTAATGTATATAGCAGAATCATCTCAAGTCCTGCATTGAAAATGCCTGATATAAAGGCATAATCGGGACAAGTTGGGACAACTGCTGATTACTATTGTTGTGGATACAGCTGCTGTTTTTGTAATTTATACATATATTGGGTAATACTGGTGTTGTTAACTGTGCCAGTATAGTATTTCTGATATTTATCTGTAGTATCACATCAATTTTAAAAGTGTAACGAAAACATAGTGTAATGAAAACTTGAACCTATTTTAAAAGGGGAGAGGGGGGCAAGAAAGACCAAAATAGAAAAATATTTGCAATTAGTCACCAAAGCTGTCAAATAAATGCAGTGAAGCAGAAGTCAAAACTTTCATAAAAAAAATACTTGAGTAAAGCCTGGTGAGGTAAAGTTCCGTTTATTTCAGGCTCCGTGATAAACTATAGCCATAAGGTACCATCAGATCTAAATGTTCCAGCCACGAAAGTACCCCGCACTGTGCGTGCGGATGGGAAGGATATCTCCGCCCAGGCACTGATCCTATTGGCGGATCCCGCTGTCAAATCCGGAGGGTCCTGCTCGGAAGGCTCCACTGATTGGCTACAGGGGTCTGTGTGTGTGTGCAGGCAGCGCAGTCTGTTTGAATGTGCTGGTGACTGAAGAGGATCATTTCCATGGACCATCTGTCTTACTGGCTGCGCACAAAACAAAGAAGGACCCAGGATGGTTTTAGTGCATGTCGGATATCTGGTTCTCCCCGTCTTCGGCTCAGTTAGAAACAGAGGTATGAGGAGCTTTATGTTCTCTCTTTTTTTTTTCTAACGCTAACCCCGAAATAATACTTCTTCATTACTTGTCTTAAATATCCACAGATGATGTAAACAGAGCTGACACCTGCTAGCTAAAAGCGAGCCAACGTAACAGCGAGCGATACCGAAATTATATTAGCCTTCTTGCTAGCTGTAGCCGAACCGAGACCGCTAATGAAGCGACCGAAGACGTGAGCCCTCAAATGCCGACGAAGACGTTGTGTTTCGGGCCTGTAAACCGCACTAAAAGGACTTCAGCTGTCAAGCGGCAGCTTTTCTTTTCCCCTTTTCATTTTTTTCTTTTTTACCCTCGGCGGCTAGCGCGCTTCTGTCTGGTTTATCTATTTATCCCTGCGCCTTGTTTATGTGTGTGCCGTCGCCGCTAGCTACTACAGCCCGGACAACAACGGCAGATTAATACTAGCCCAGCTTTATTTAGCTTACAACCTCCACAGGGGTTTCTTAAATTATGAATTTAGCCAAGCTAGGGTAGACCTCTGAATCCAAAGTGACCGAGTGTATTGCTATTTTCTTCTATTTTGCTCCTTTGTGTGCATCCTTTAAAAAAATCTCATTTCTGCGAGTTACTTTAACTGGATGGTTCTTCCACTGAAAGACAGCATTAGGCTAATCGGTGTAAATTAGTATAAGCATATGACTGGTTTTTAATGCGAATAGGCTTTAACATTTTTGGAGCATGTCCCCGTCAAACCTCTAATAAAAATAATAATAAAAAAAATTCCCTGCAAATTTCGCTGCAGGTGCTCCAGTAGTGAAACAGCATAAAATCCGTTTAATAGGGCATAACAACAATAACATCATCCTCCACTGCAGCAGGGCTCTCTGTGTTGATTATGTAATAATAATAGTAATTTGTCGTGCATTGTTAAAACTACATGCAGTAGCACCAATGATTTCATTGTGCTTTTATTTGTGTTCTTTTTTCCTGTTCCATAGTATCGAGGCTGGCTCTACATTCCGCATTTCTCAGACCTTTGTCCCCCTCCATTGTGTAGCTAACGATCATCTGCTGCTGTCTGCCGTAGCCTCTGCCTGTTCTCTGCATCTAGCTGTATTGTGAACCCCTTCTTCCTCATTTCCTCTTTCCATCTGAAGACGACATTGGCATTAAAACAGAGTTCCCACTCATACCGTATCCTTCTGTGTAACAGACTAAAGAATAACACTCTCTGTAGAAAACAGTTTGTCTTAATTTAAACTGTCATGTTGCTCTTTAGTGAATAACCCATTGTAGCGTTAGACTTTACTACAGACTGTCATTGTGATTCTCCCATTCAGTGTGGATAGACTACATTCTGCTGTAAATTTCTGTAAAGTGGATACATTTTGATCCTCCCCTCCCCGATTCGATTACAGCCAGGCTTGATCGAACTCGTTGATTACTCTCCTCACAAAGGTGCATTGTACCGTCTTTTTGTTGTCAAAGAAGCACTTTACAATTGCTATTACTAATAATCTTGTTATCCTGATAATCACTAATTGGCATGCAGCGCTTAAGTCATTTTGTTTTTGGCGACGTTATGTTTTTTTTCCACATTTGAAGGTCCACTGCACCTGTTAATGGTTGCTGGTCATAATCCTATCCATGTGTCAAAGCATTTGTCCCTGCTAGCTGAGTGGACTTCACAATAAATTGGAGAGATGTGAATCTAAACCCATTTTGCCATTTTTGCAGCGCCCCACCACCACTACCACTCCCTCTCAAATCTTACCTCCAGCACCTCCAGAATGCTATCCATTTTACAGGGATGTGTATATCCTGCACTGCTGTAGATCTCCTTTTTTAGAATCAAAATGTCTTTTTTATTCTTTGGTTGTGGTTTTTCTGCCTTATGTTCTTGTATTAGATCCTAATGCATGGTCATTTTATACTTTTGTTTTTCCACATTGAACAGCAGATTCCAATGTAATCTTTGTGAAGAGATGTCCCTGCTGTACTGAAATGTGCTGTAAGCATACACATCTACTCATTGGATGCTGCTTCTGTTCTGTTAACCCTACAGAGAGCATGGTCAGGCCTTGCCTTTGGTCTTTATTTGCATGGGATTATTATTATTATTATGCTTATGTAGAGTCTCTTACTCTTATTATTACTATTATCACACAGTGCCACACATACTAATATTTTTCCAATAAAGACTGTAGTTTTCTTCCTAACCTTCAGTGTGCTTTTTGCTGATTTCCATGTGTTCCTCCCCCTCCTCCCTCCACACTGTGCTGTCACTGAGACGGTCCCCTCACTCTATATGTGCTCTCATTTCTCAGCTGTCTTTGACAGAGTTTCTTCAGGTTGCCACACTGCTTACTTTGGAGTAGGGGCAAGCACATTTTCTTTCCATTTTTAAAATGCAAAGGCATGTTTGATATTGAAACCTCGACACTGACATTTCCTGTTACAGGCTGTCATTCCGTCCAAATCCATACACTATCTATAGACCAAAACACAGTCTCTCTCACAGCCAATCATTGGTGTTAACATTGTGAGCAATATGGGTGAAATCATGGTATGTGTAATATATATATTTTTAAATATAGTTAATAGAAGTATATTGCAAAAAAACACTCAAAAGGAGTTAAATAGTAAATAAAAATACAAGTGTTTAATAATAAAAATTTAAAAAAAGCTGGCATGCTATATAAAATGAAAATAAAACAATATAATTTGCAAGCACGTTAAACCCTATATTTAAAAAATAAAATAAAAGTGAATTAATGAAGCACAAAATAGAATTTAAGGATTATTCAGGCCTTTTTCCTTTTCTTTATGGAAAACATAAATAAGTTCTTGTTTTGAATTTGATGCCAGCAAAATCTTTCAAATAAGTTGCGACAGGGGCATGTTTACCACAGAGTTGCATCAGCTCTTCTAACAACACTCTTCAAGGGCTTGGAAACTATGGCAGACCGGTTGCTGTAGATTTGAAAGAAACATGTTTTCATGGAAGATTTCAGCAGCTCAACACTTCAGAGCCCCCTTTGTTATATACATGTTATTTATTTATCTTTGGTTCGCATTATCTAGAATGTTGATACTGGGTGATGGCCCTGACCTGTTTAGCCCCTGGACTCACTCGGTACAGATCCATACTGCTGTAATTCGTGAGGAATGTTGTTTTGCACGGTCTTGCTGAAAAAAAAGCAAAGGCTTTCCAAAAAAGAAGTCATCTGATCCGATACCTGTACATATCAAATTGTTCAGCATTAATGGCGATTTCACAGATTTGTGAAAGCACCATCAAGATTTGTGAAGTTACTCATAATATTGCTCACTAATGTATGCGCATATCATCAGGAATGGTGCCATTCTTCTGAATTATATTTATGTATAATTTGTTTGTTTTTCACAGTGGTTTTGAGAAGTTGTTTAGTCCACTTCACAGATTTCCACCACAGAACTGAAATGGCGCTGAAGAGCACTGCCGTTCAGTGTTGGTTTTCAGCTTTCCCCCTGAATACAGAGAATTCTTAGAATTCCCTTAATCTTTTAAACAACACTGAACTGGAGATTATATAACCCAGTGATAGTGGAAGATTATGGAGATTGTGTTTTACTTTGAAAAAAAAAACCCACTGGTGAAACACTCAACATAGTTGCATCTAAAAGACTCTCTTTTTAAACCCAATTACAAAATTGATCTATTTTCAGTTTACCCAATTGGAATCAATACTGTTTTTTAGAAGAGGTTTCAGGCATTTTACTAGCTGGGTTTTCCCATCTTTTTGGCCCCTGTCCTAAAAAGTATAGCTTACAATTTAAACTGAGTGTATATAAAACACAACAACAAAAACAAAAACAGGAAAGAAAAATAGGATAGTCATTTTTTTCTCTTCATCACAAAATCAGTACTGCTACCTTACCTTGTACCTTAGCAAGATGCCTTGAACAAAAGCCACCAAGTGGCTTTGTCTTACAAAGACAAAAACTACCTTTCAGCACATCTGTCAATCATTCATCGACATGTTTTAACTGAAAAGTGTAAAAGTACTATCCACTAGATAAGAGATAATGACTACCTATTAATTGGTGAGTTTTGCCTACATATTGAGTTTGCTGCCTCCTGGCTCTAGCCTTTAACATCAGTACTCAGCTATAAGAGCAATGTAGACTTGACCTCCAGCACAAAGTGAACAAGTAGACAGTCCTAAATGTCTAGCTATTCCTTTTTGCAGTCTCCAAATGGGTACCGCAAAGACAATACAGAGGTTCAATAATTAAATGGTGGCTGCTCAGTCTGCATTTAAACTTGTGTCTCTGTGGTATGCTGTCAGGTCCTCAGCTGGTGTTTTTCTTTATTAGCACAACAGACCATGACACATTTATATTCATGTTGCCTTTCTAGCTGGTGACAGCAGCATAACTAAACCCAGTTAGGCTAACGTTGTTTCTCAAGCACAGATAATGTGTTAAACTCTGAGTAATGAGTGCAAATGAAATAAAAGAAGTCACATTTTTTTTGTTAGTAGTAACTCATTTCTCTTTACATGCTGGCTATGCACATCAGCCGGCTGTGTAATGACTTTTCATTTTCATCAAATCTTCAGTTTTTTAGACATCTGTTGTGTTTCTCTTTAGATGCTTCTTTGAAAAGTGTCCAAGTGGGACGCTTTTCTTCCATTTTAACACTTGACTCAGCTGCGTGAACCTTACATCTGCGCGCAGTGTCTGAAAAAGGCTAAAGGTGTGTCCGAGGCACAGCCATGTGTGCTCTGCAGCTGACTTCTAAATATTCCAGCAGCTGCACTGCATGTGCGGCTGCACTGATACAAAACCACGAAAAGCAAGGTCAGCACAATGGTTTTCCAAGCATGTGCATGTTATGCTGGATTTTTTTTTTCTTCACCAAGTGCAGCTGTACAACACATGCACTGATTTTGCCTCATTAATCCTCACCTTCTGATGGTGAGTGTTATAATCGGCGACCTCAGCAGGTGTGGGGATGGTTTCTGCCTAATGGGAGACCAGTGAGACAGGCAGAGGACAGGAGTGTGTTAGAGAGGAGGTGTGATGTAAAGCTGCAGTGACTTCAGGAGGAGTGGAGGGAGAGAGAAAGAAAAGAGTTGAGGTTCCATGTCAGACTGCTGCAGTCGCAGGTGGGTGGGGCTTGCTGGCTGTCACTCACTGTGGGACACCATGCTGCAGCCATGCTGTGGGGGAGGGGCCGCCTGTGCAGCAGCTGAGGGGAGAGGATAGGTGGAAGGGTGTGTGTGTGTGTGTGTGTGTGTGTGTGTGTTTCTGTCTGTGAGTCAAAGACAAAGCCTCAGATGTAACAGTGGAAACATCAGGGCTGCTGCTGCTGGCAGCTCTGCAGTACGTCAAATATTAATGCCAGCAGTTCATGCTGTGAAAAGCTCCCAGACACAAATAATCTGATATTTACCCTGAACTCCACACAACAGTCCAGCTTTGCCGGGTCACAGGCTTCATGCAAAACTGATGCACAGCCTTTAACCAATCCAAGCCACCAGTCTGCCATTTCTGCTCTACTTCCTCAACCAAATGCTGTTTTTCTCTTTGCCCGTGGCTCTCTGGGTTCACTGGCTTTCCATGTCCCGAGGCTATATCCAACAAAGCAAAGCCAGACAAATATGTCGTTTCAGCAACAAAAAACAGAGCATTTTGGGAAATGCGTTTGTTTCATCTGCACAGGACTTTATCAAATCATAACCACTTCCCTGCACATCTAACTCTCCTTAATTGATTTGCTACGTCTTAAAAAAACAGTGAAGTAAAAGCAATATTTCATTTTCTGCCGTTGAGAAATGTTACACACTTGTTAAATTTTAAATTAGATCTCAACTCAGTGAACCAGCTACTGTTAATTAAACTTGTCAGGAAATATTAAGTATGTCATAGACCATTAACAAAGAGCCAAATCTACAATGTGGCTTCATGTTATTGTTTGAAAGATTATGAGTAAACAGTTTAAATGGGCAGTTCTTATTCACGGGACATGCAAAGACACAATACTGACATATTTACGTATACACTGTCCTCCAGACCCCGCTGTCTGCTTTCCTCTCCAGAGGAAATTTAGAGAAGCTTTAATTGGAAGTTAAAGGAGTAATACTCTCAGCTTGCTTCCAGCATTCATTTCTGTGAGCTCTGAGTAATTTGTATTGATTGTTTTGTGCAAGTGCAACACCAAGGTGACTCAGTGGGACTAGCACACAACCTCCCATCTTCTCTGCTTAGTAGGAAGGGTGGAGAGAAGACAAAAATGAAAGCCCATAAACTTTTCAGACTTTCTTGATGGCTATGGTGCATTACTATTATCTGACTCTTTTGTTGAGAAAGTCTCAGTTTAATATGTTCCTTCAAACAGCAAACGCAATAAAAATAACAGAGTTTGAAACTATTGGTTTTGCTGGGATTCGTTTTGGAAATACCCTAGACCCCCAGTTAGTGAGGATGCGTCTTTCCTGTTGGCTGCACATGGCAAGTGGAGACGCAGACCATTGAGTGAAATCCGTCTGTGGGTTTAGTTGGTGCTCCACAGGGTTCTCCATGTCTGCGTCGTCCATCTGCTGTTTTGTCTGTCTTGTCTCTTCCTGTGTCACGTTCCTCTCTGCGTGGTTGGTTTTTAAATGTGTTTGTGTCTTTTTTACGAGTGTGTGCGAAAGTGCTGTTGGTTCGTCTCCTTGTCGTGTAAGTTTCAGTGAAAGCGATCGCAGCTCCGTTTTGATCCCTCGCATTTATTCCCAATAGGAGCGCACTTCACCAGGCATCAACACAGCCATGCTACCTCCTGCCGACACTTTCACCTGGGTGCTCCCCAGGCACCCATCTCAGCTGAGTTTCCTTTAGGACATGCCAGCCAGCCCCCGCAGACAGGCCTGGCCACCCACCTGCCCCCGACGCACCATCCACCCCTCACTGCCCTGCCCGGACCCCCTCAGTTTCAGGATGTGCCGGGGCCTTCATTCCTACCTCAGGCCTTACACCAGCAATACCTCATCCAGCAGCAGCTCCTCGAAGCGCAGCATCGCAGGATCCTCCCACACTCCAGGTAGTGACCCTTGCATCCATACAAACACAACTAAAAAAACAAACAAAAAACTGAGATATTTTTTAAATCAAATCTCTATCTAATTACAGAAGAGCCCAGGAGCGTATTCCCCTGAACCCTCACAGACTGCGTTCGGGCTACGAGTACTCCCCGCCTCTCCATGTTCCTCAGCCAATGACACAACAACCGCGGTACCTGGCCGAAGGCACCGACTGGTGAGTCACCGTTGGGGATTAACGAGAATCCTGCAGAGTTGAGAAATGATCCCGTCTTTTTTTTATCTTTCCACCCATCTGTCTGTCTGCCACATTGCCTGGCATGGGCTATGTTAATTTAGCCACGTTCCTCTCTTTCTGCAGGGATCTCAGCGTAGATGCTGGCCTCCCTCACCATCAGTACCAGCTCCAGCAGCTTCCGCAGCACTATCAGCATTACCTGGCCTCCCCTCGAATGCATCACTTTCCCAGGAACACATCCTCTGCACAAGTGGTATGTTGGTCACTTCCTCAGGTGGCCTTGGATAGCTTGATAGTCTATATTCCTGCTGTAATATAATGAAGGATTTTGTTGTAGGTTGTGCATGAAATCAGAAACTACCCATACCCCCAGCTTCACCTGTTGGCGCTGCAAAGTTTAAATCCTTCGAGGCACGCCACTGCTGTGCGAGAAAGCTATGAGGTAAATCTGACTGTCCATCTATCAAACTCTGCACCTTCCTACGGTGTCACTTTAAGTTATATGTACTAATTGTTCTCTAGCTTTTAATCAGTATGAGCTTCATACGCAGATTTTTTTCATTCTTTCCTGACCATGAAAACAGCAGTGAACCAAACCATTTGTTGTCCATGTAGTAGCTTTTTCTCTTTTTAGCATTCTGGTTCATTTTATTAACTGGGCTGTTCCTGCAGGAGCTGCTGCAGCTGGAGGATCGACTGGGGAGCGTTAGCAGAGGAGCTGTTCAGACAACCATAGAGAGATTTACTTTTCCACACAAATACAAGAAGGTATGGCAGATGAGACAAAAATCTGTTGAACGTTTGCTTTTTTCCCCCCTTTGTTTTGACCCTACATTTCTGTCTCTCTGTAATGTGACCCACGAACAGAGAAAGCCCCTGCAGTTGAAGATTGGGGAGGAGGAGGAAACAGATGTTGATGAAAAATGTACCATATGTTTGTCCATGCTGGAGGACGGAGAAGATGTCAGGTAATAATTACTTTGTAGACCCAGAAATCATAAAAAAGAGAAGTGCACTTATTCTGAGTGAGTTAAATGGGAAAATCTATACCAAATTGATTTGATGGGAAACATGATGCTGCAGGCTGCAGATGATGAGCTTAGCTCAGAGATGCATTGCAGGATGGGTCTAGACAGCAGGGACTGATGGGGAAGACGAGATGGAAGCCGGACTTCCTTTTCTATTATCGTAGACAATATGACATCATTGAAAGACTGATAAGCTAATTGCCTGAGTGAGACATCAAGCAATTGCAAGAGATAAAAGAGGCACGACTACAGGAATTACTGTACCATTACCATTATCAGCGTTGCCTTCTAACATTTTTGTCTGATTTTTGTTTTCCACTTTATAATAAATATCACTTTACCTGACTTATTGTCAGGTTTACTGATAATCATGATATGATACACCACATCTCTGTGTATTGTCTGCAAACTCCTCCTGTGCAGTCTGTAGCACAGCAGCCAAACGTTGCACACAGGTACATCTTAGGTCCCTGATGCTACTTAACCACCTACCAACAAGCTAAAGTGGACTATTTTTTAGCTTTTACAGAGCTATAACACCTTAAAATGTATATTATTTTGATTCAAGGACAGCAACATCTAATTGATACTTAAAAACTATGGTATATATGATATAATGTCATCAGGCTTCCTGGCAATAAAGGACTAATAGTCAGAACATGAGCATGGGCCTGTAAAAGTAAATATAATAAATCCAATATCAGTCATTTCATGAAATGCAGTCATTTCAAATCATCATTTCATCCACTGTCTATGTAATATAATGTAAGAGTTTCTGACAAATACCAAGTATTTACTTCTTCCCATTGTGTTTCTGCCGACCTTCTGAGCAAATCAGTCATGAGAATCTTTCCAGTCCTGTACCACATGTGTGCATAAATGAGCCTCTGCTATGAGCTGTTGCCAGACAAATAGCTGAGACTCTAGGAAGCTTCTGATCATGGCTAAGAAATAGTCCAATCTCAAGCCACCCACATACCAAAATTTAGTTACATTTTTTTTTTGATAGTTGTATTTTCACATGGAGACAAAAATCCCCTTTAGTGTTGCATCAGGAAAGGCATCCACCATAAAACTGATCAAACATGCAGAACTACCTGCTGCAGTGACCCCTTATGAAAATGGTGCTGCCAAAAGTAGCCTGTATGCAGAGGCAGAAGCATGGCAACAACCTGCTTTTCAAATGCTGGAATTATAATCCCTAAAATGTTCTGTTCCATTACGCACATGCATTTGAAACAGTGGTTGGGAGGGAATTTTTAGGTAACAAGAACTGTCCCCCTGGGTGAGGCGAGAGGATCGGTTTGCAACATAAGAGTCTCAGCTGTCTGAGAGGCATTTGGGACTGACTACTCAACAACAAAAGTTGTCTCTACATGCCTGAATGAACAGAATTAACTCCCCGAGGGTCTTTTTAAGCTCACAACTGTATGCACTGGAAAAGTAACACACAGTCATGTGAATCCACACTGACCCTAAAGTTTGTCTCTCTTCCTATCCTGCAGGAGGCTGCCCTGCATGCACCTCTTCCACCAGGGCTGCGTGGACCAATGGCTGGCCACCAGCAGAAAGTGTCCAATCTGTCGAGTTGACATCGAAACACAGCTGAACCCCGACAGCTGATGAGATTCGACACTCTCGTGATTCAGTCGCCCTCGTGGTGCGATTCTTGCTTTCTTCCACCTCCGGCTCGCCAGCCTCCCCCACCTTACCCTACCCCACCCCACCTCCCTCGACCTCCTCCTTCCCGTCGGGTGCTTTGCCAAATGTCTCCAGACTTCATGTGACATCACCACCCTTCTGAGTCACGCTTTACTGAGCCAAGCCAGGAAAACTAACTGCACGGAGAGGCCGCAAAGGACTCTCTTTATATAGAAGCACATCCCTCTGGAAGCAAAAGACACACTAACAAACAAATACTCATATACACAGGGTTTACTTGTAGCTTGCTGGTCTTACGTGGGGTTGTTGTTGCTGTTGTGGTGTTGTACTGTAGGTAGCCTGGGGCTGTGTAGCATGTCCTCAAAGCCATGAGTTAATGTCCTGAGACTAGAAAACACATAACCCCAGACCTAGCTGGCTACTTTTCTCTCTTCTCTTCAATCTCTCTCTCTTGCTCTCTTTTTACACACACATATATATACACACACACACACACACACACACACACACACAAATATATATTTCTCTCTTTTTAAACACAATCAAAATGAATATTCTGCCACGCAAGAAAGCTTAACAGAATCTAAATGCTCTGATGCCATGTTTACCTAAAGATCATTTGTGGTCGTAGTAGAGTAGCAGTAACCAATAAGTGAGATCTGGTGCGACCTCCTCGAGGCCAAGCACCAGCTAGCTGTGTGTTTTAATTCTCTCATGCAGCTTTTGACATTTCGCAGTACAGTTGTGCGTTTACCTTGGGTTGGTGTCATGTGCAGATGGTGTGATGTGATTAGGTCTCATTCACTGTCAGGGAAAACCCAGTGACTGCGATGTTTTTGTGTTTGAAATTGAAAAAAAGAAGAAGAAGAAGACAAAAAATAATAGTGTTTTCACCAAAATGCATTATGTCACAGTGTAGCTTGAATCTCCGCACAGGTTTTATGTCCACTGCCCATGCCATGTGTCACTTCAAGAGACTGCGTCTCACACAAACGTGTTAGGTGAAGAACACGGCCACTGGAGTGCTTATACAACACAAAACCAAAAGAAACAAAAAGAAAAAACACAAAAAAACCTGAAAAGGGATGAACAACAGAAGCTATCATGCACTGCAGAGCGAGGTGGGAGGATTTAGCTGCCCTTGTACCTGCATTTCCATCTGGCACTAGGCCAGTGGCAGAACAGTGCACACTAAAAAACAAAAAAGGAAGATTGCATGTTTCATTTTTTGGGTTTGGGGCTGTTGGCTGTGGTAGCGTTTCTTCACTTTTAAAAGGTACAGAGACGCCTGTGCATGACTTAGTTAATCTGAGCTGTGACTATCTTCTGAACACTAACAAATATTAATAATAATAATAATAATTTTTAAAAAGTCAGTGGTTTGCTCCCCTGACTTGTAGCGCGTGTCATCCGGTTCCCTTTGGTGGCGACCTTGGGATCCTGTTTTTTGATGTTTACCTTATTGCCTAAAGAACAAGCACATGTGACGATAGTTATAGCAACAAAAGTTTCTCCTCGGCATCGCGTTTGGTTTATATATAGGTACGGATTCATGCAGTGTTTTGAGCTGGGAGAGGAGCTTGCGTATTGATCTTGTGTTATATTTGTGTGACAGACCTCCCCTCGTGGTTGCTATGCTGGTTGCTATGCTGTATTTGCTAGAACATGTAGAAACGTGGTGCGACGGAGGCAGCCTCCCTCTCACAGTGCACACAGACACGAGACGACAGGACAGCAGGAAAGCATTCAGGCTGTTAAAACACACACTCTCTCTATCACCATTTCTTCTCTCTTTTTTTTTTACCCTTTGTGTCAGCTTGTCACTTCAGTTCCACAGAGCTGTGTGTGTTTGTGTGTGTGCGCGTGTGTTACAGGACGCCTTTAGGACCCTCACTGTCCTCTCTGCACTGTGATAGCATATAACAAGGGTAACACTTGGCCCAGAGACTCAATTAACAAGGCTTACTTCTTCCTGTCTTGTGCACTGCCAGTGTTGACACTGCCTCCTCCTGTAGTGGAGTCATCCGTGATGAAAGTTGTCATAGTTTACACAGGGTGTTGTCAGTTGAGATGCCTTAAGTATTTAACAATCATAATTTATTACTAACTGTAGATACTGTGGGTATGTATTTAATTTTATATAGTTTTTTTTTTCTTTTTCTGGAGTTGGGTTGACTGAATCATAATTTATTTATTTACAAATATAACATGAAAAGGCTATTAAAAAATGGATACCTCATGTTTTTTGGTTGCATTGTTTTAAATGGGAATGCTTTGCATGCAGTTGTACTTTTTCGGAACACTAAAAGTAAAAAAAAAGAGGAAAAAAAGTTCTGCTGTTCGATCTCCACAAGCTGGCTGTGCGATGTTTACTGACCAAGGCTGAGCTACTGAGCCCGTTCTCTCTCTTTCTCTCTCTCTCTTCCTGTCTTCTATGTCTCTTTTTCTCTTTCATGTGGTGCTGTGGATCTTGGTTACATTCCATTCAATGCAATCTCTCCAATCCCCCATGCTGTGATGTAGTGAACAAACTGCAAGTGAATTGGTTTTGGTTTGTGACAATTTTTTTTCTTTTTTTTTCTTTCTTTTGCACTAACTTGTTTAAAATGGGAACCCTCTCACTGGCAAAAAAAATATTTTAGATTATTTAAATGAACTGGCTTTTATTTTTTTATGCTCTGCTTCTCACACAATGCACTAAGGGTCTTAATGAAACATGTTCCTTTGTTTTAACTCTTTGTGTTATCTCTTCAGTTGTCATCTCTCTAGTGTTTCTCTGTTCGTTGGTTTCTTATGTTGTTGTTTTTTTTCCCGAAATGCTTTGTAGATTTAAGCATAACAAGTGCCTCGCTTTAAGTGTTAGGGGATATTTCCATATAACGGAAACCATGAACAACAATCAGTCCATCCACCATGCCTTACTGGTTGCTTAGTTAATTAAGTGAATGGAAAACGAAGGAGCTGAGACAACATTTGACTAAAGCCATTATAATCAATCAATCCAAGTCAAGCTGTCCAAAAACTAGCTGCCGGTTTGTAGTACCGAAGCACTGCATTGCTGTGGAAATAGCTCTGACTATAAAGAGGCATGTTTCACCGTGGGCTTTACAGCGGTCCTTTCGATGTACTTCTCCATTCTGTTTTCTCCTCTTCTTTCCGTCTCCGTTTGATTTTACCGTCCGTCCGTCCCTCCTCTCCGACTCTCTCTCTGTTTGCTTTCACAGTCTAAAAAAGGAAGGCAAGGATTTAAAGCACAACCTTTTCTAAAGAACAAAAAACAAATGCATGTTTTCTCAGGTTTCAGTGTAGTCGCAATGGTTTCATAGTATATGGTGAAAATATATACAAAGAATATAACAGAAAAAAAATTATAAATTTTGTTGCTGCTTGAATCTGACAAAAACCAACAAGTGAAGAAACTATCCCAAAAAGTGCCAGTGAAAGGGCTGCCGCCATCCTTGTATGAAAACCTGCTGTTTAGCTGTGACTGCGCAATGTTTTTTCAAAATAGGATATTTTATCTGAAAATAGAACTATTTATCATTAATATTAAAGCAATAGCGCATTAAAATGGTTTTGAGCGTGTTGATGATGAAGTGGATGAGCCTGTTATGGGTAAATGTTAGATTTACATTTGGTGGAATTTTGTACTTTATTTATTATTACTACTACTAATAATGATGATAATGATCTCAAAGGTTGCATTGCTAAACCCAAACTGTTCTGTTTTTAATTTTTATTTTATTTCATGGCTTGTATATTATCCTTTTATATGTGCTCTTTTTGTAATAAACTTGATAAAATGGAAGTGAACCTATTTTTTCTTTTGTCTTTTTTTTAACCCCTCAAAATGCAGCAGTTTTGTACTTCATCCTTAGTTAAAGGTGAAGTCAGGTCATCAGGTTGTTTTATAGAGAAAAAAAAAAAAGATATTGTACTTATAAATTTATAGCGTTTTACGTATGTGGCTAGAGATCACCCACATGTCAAAAGCAGAGAAAAAAGAGAACTGTGGGTGTACTGTAAATATATGTTTTATCAGCTTTGATGGGATCTCCTTTACCAAAGAAGTGAAAATACAAAGAAAAGAGGCAACAGCATCTGGATATAAAGTCATCCTCTTCCTTCTCACCTCAAGTCTTATCTGCTGAACTGAAGTCAGGACTCTAAAACATAAAAATGTGTATAAACATCCTCATTTATTCCTAATATTATTCCAGTTACTTATTGTCAGAAGATTAGACTGTTATCTTTCTATCTCCAGCTAGCTGACAAAAGCTAACAACAACAGCAGCTGGTTTTAAGCTAACATTATGCTAGCTAATGTTAGGCTAAAGTATCCTAAAATTCCTAAAAATCCTAAAAATTCACACTTGATTACATTCTCACACCTTATAAGAGGTTATTCACTCAGAGCGTCAGAGTTCAGCAAAGCTACATCCACTTCAAAGACTGTTTCACAGAAGTTAACAGAGGCTACCAGCAGCAAAAACTATAGTGCTGCCTAATGTTCTGCATGTCCTCAACAACTCACCTTAGTATGGCTGTCATTGTTCAGACATGAGCTTCTCTGATTCAGTGACACATATTGGACTTGGAAATAGAGATAGGTGCTTCTTACTGGGCATTGACAGCTAAGGCAAACAGAAGACTGACAGCTTTTCACAAATAGGGAAAAACTCTTTCCAGATCTGGTCCAAACATTAATAGAAACTTGCCGACTGACCATGTCACCATGGGGAACAGTCTAAATTTAATGTTTATGGTCTCTCTTGACTGACTACAACATGCTTTTCCTTTGGCCTCCGTATCTAGGATTATACACTTGAATCAGGGACAAAAGTACTCAGTTGACTGATTTCTGCAATCTACTGACATGTAGCGGTTAGATTGTAATTCAAAAACCCGAAGAAATCATGGAATCTCTGTGTGTCCCTGTATTGTTGACTAGACATTAAAACAATTGTTTTGGGCCAAGGAAAAAGTTATAAATATAAAATTCATACACAATTACTTCTTAACTATCACTTTGACATATTTGAATGTCCCATTTGAGTCATTTATTTACCTGTTTAATGTAATGTCTAAATATCATTCTCCACAATTTGCATAGGATCATCAAAACTGAACAACAGAAGATTGGAAAATCATTGCCTGGTCTGTTGAGACTCAGTTTTTGCTGCAGAAATTCAGATGGTATGGTCAGAATTTTGTGTAAACAACATGAAAGCATGGATCTATCCTGCGTTGTATCAGTGATTCAGGCTGATACTGGTGATGGTGTAATAGTGTGGAGGAGATTTTCTTGGCACATGTTGGGACCCTCAGTATCAACTGAGCATCATTTTAACACCACAGCCTACCTGAGTATTGATGCTGACCGTGCCCATCCCTTTATGACCACAGTGTACCAGTCTCCTTCCAGCATAATAGTGCGACAGGTCACAAAGCTCAAATCAACTCAAACTGGTTTCTTGATTTGTTGAATGAATTCACTGCACATAAATTGTCTCCACAGTCACCGGATCTCAGTCCAATATAGCATCTTTGCAAGTTTGTGGAACTGAATATTTGCAACAACTGTGTAATGCAATCAGGTCAATATGGATCAAAATCTCTGAGGAATATTTCCAGCATTTTGTTTGCTGTGTTTAAGGCAAAAGGAGATGACTGTAATAGCAAAGTATAACTAATGAAGTGCCCAATGAGTGTATATTTCTACTTAACCAGACTTGAAGGTAAAGTTTAGACCTACCAGCAAGTCAGAAGTGAAGCTGAAAACTGGGTGTTATAAACAAATTGGATTTATTTATTCATTTGTTCATTTTATAAAATCTGTATTACAACAAAACAATGCAAAGAATCCCTGATATTTAAAAAGAATGGCACTTTCCTTTTTCCTGACCACATTAGACATCATCATGACATGTTTTTTTTAAATGTCTCAGTTCCTGAGATATAAAACTTGCTAGAAGCAGAATCTCTTTGGTCATTACTTTTAAACATAAGAGGACATGCTTGAGCTGTAGGGTTTTTTAGTATTTTGGGTAGATGGCCCTGGAGATTTTTCCATCTGCCTTCTTAGAGTCCAGCCATTTCCCGCAGAGAAAGATAGTGGTAACACCATTGGCTGTGTTGGTGACTTCCACACGATCGAGCAGCCAGCCAGGGCTGAGACCGGAGTTGTCGTGTTCTACCCGGACTTTCTGCAACTCCCCCATGTCCAGCATTTCCACAGAGAAACGGTCTGTTTGCCCACGTTCAAAAAGGTTACGAAACTTCTGACGCAGTTGCCTGCAACCCGAATCTCCATTGGAGCCATAGAGAGTAATGAAAACATTGGCATCGGTTCCTGCACCCTTTTCATCACCTGTGATGACGATGATCTCATATTTGACAGGTACCAGGCTTCGAGCTTTGCTTGCAAAGCTCTCGATGGTCTTTGTGCACTCAACGGTGATGAAATCGTCCCTCTTAGGAGAAAGAGGAATGAGGGAATTGCATTTGAAAATGTACCTGGAGATAATGGAGCAGAGCAGAAGGAATATAGTCTAACCATTTGAGAATATCAAGAAATTGTTTGATGGTGGAAAATAAATGAATGGCTACAGTGGGGAAGCAGCTGCCTTACTTGTTTCCCAGTTCTCTTTCGGTCACAACAACCTCCTCCACGTGCCAGTAAACCTCCCCCTTTACTTTCTTTCCATCCTTGGGTGTATGGCCCAGACAGATGCCAGCAATATCACCCAAGTTCTTGGATGAAAATTCAAACCTGTCAACATTTCCCCTAAAAAGAGAGAGGAACATGGATTCGTTGGTGAAAGTAGCTATTAGAGCAGGGCGATATGACCAAAAATATTTATCACGATATACATTTGAAAATTTGCGATAACGATATAACTGACGATATAATTGACACTAGACAAAATACTTTACAACTCCACAATTGTATTAGTGCAAAAAAACCCATCAATGTATTTTCACTTAAACAAGCAGCTGTTTTTTGCATTAAAGTTATATAAAAATGTAACAGTGCAAATGCAAATTCCTTGCTGACAGTTTAACCAAAAGGCATTTCCAGTGGAAATTGGCCAACATATCCTCAGCATAACCATGTATAATATCCACAAAACTTAAAA